CTGTGCTGTGCCCACTGTTAATCAGTGGCATTGCAAACCTGCCTACTTCCATGGAGAGATGTTGTGCATTGGTCACCCAACACATAACTATATTTCATAGATTTCATAGACATTAGGGCTGGAAGGGACCTCAGAAGATCATTGAATCCAGGCCCCTGCCCAAAGGGCATGAAGTCAGCTGGGGTCATAGGATCCCAGCAAGATAAGCATCCAATTTACTTTTGAAGGTATTCAATGTAGGTGCTTGAACCACCTCTGATGGCAGGCTATTCCAGACCTTGAGGGCTCGGACAGTAGGATATTGGATAAGTGCCTGTGATTGCCCTGCTGTTGTTTGTGCTTCAGGCCCCACAGCCTGTTGCACTTCTTGGTGTTACACACTGTGTCTTTGTGGAGTGGAGCCCTTGGGAGGGTCCTTGCTCCCTCCTTCCCTCTCTCTCTGTCAACCAGGAAATAAGGGCATAGGAAACTGAATGATACCTAGAGGAGGGAATGGAAGTCCCTCTGCCCTTGTATTCCTACCTGGGAGAATGGATGGTAAGGATGGGGGGTGGGGCATGGAGGGAGAGGCAGGATCTTTGTGGAGGAGGCTGAGAACTACCCTCTGGAAGATCATCAGCTTTTTTTGCCGAAATGCTCCAGTGCTTCCTTGGCTGACATGCCTGTTCCAGGGCTTGAGTAGGTGAAAGAGGGCCAGCAAGCACTGGTGGCTAGGTGCTATAGAAGGGACAGTGCTGTGGCCAGGGGGAGATAAACATCACTGCTTCTTTCCCACAGGGCTGTCCAGCTGCCCATGCCTGAGAGAGATGGACCAGAGAAGGGCATCAAGGGAGCTGGCATAGCACCTTTCCCCACTGCCTTCCTTGTTGTCTAAAAGGGTAAACATGAGGTGTTTGCCAGTGAGGAGCTGATGGCACTGATGAAAGCAAGATACTGAGCAGGCAGATGGGCACAGGAAGAAAAGGGGCCAGCTGTGCAATTTATAGTATAGTTGCTGCAATAGACCTGGCTGGACCTCAGCAGGCCTGTGTTTCTTAGGGTTGCTAACCCTCCAGGATTGCCCTGGAGTCGCCAGGAATTCTAATATTATAAAAGCCTTAGTCTGACTGGATGCCAAGACAGCCAATCAGAGTGCAAATAAAGCATTATGGACAGACAGACAGAGTGCTCCAAGAGTGTTTGGACTGCAGGTGGTGGCACCATGGCGGAGTGCTGCTATGACAGCAGGGGTGGCGGGGGCCGAGGCCAGCACAGCTGGGTCCCCTGTTCTGTGGAGGTGGTGGTGGTGGCATGAGAGGGTGGGGAACAGGGTTGAACCCACAGCGGTGGCACAAGGGAGTGGGAAAATGGGCCAGGCCCACCGCGGCATGGGGGAAAAGCAGGCCCTGATGCCACCATGACAGTGGGGACAGAGGGGAGGGAGCAGGGGCAAACAGCTGGCCTTGGGTGGCGGGGGGGCACTTGGGTGGCGGCAATGGAGCGGACAAAGTGGGGCTGGCCTTACCCCCTGCTCCCTGGATGCGGCAGTGGCATGGGGTGCTGGGTGGTGATGCTCCATCTGTGCTGCCTCACCCCTGGTCATTCATGGGGAGGGGGCTGGCCCGACGGCACAGTGGCGCGGGGGGGCACACTGGGCCCAGCCTGGCCCTGAAATGGTGGCAAAGTTGAGGGGGGCGGGCATGCTGGATGCAGGCCTCCTCCCACCTGTCATTCTTGACAAGCAATTGGCTAGTTAAATATAAATCTCCAGGAGACTACTAAGAGTCACCCAGGAGATAAATGATGGAACATTCATTAACATAAATATTAAATGTTGAATCCAATTTATACAGTAGTCTGGTAGATTTTTTTAAATGTAATAGTAACGTACATTTGCCTTCCTGACATAGAGTCTACACACCGCAATCTGTAACTGATATATGCAAGCACATGGGCGTATTCACGTTGTGTCGTGGGCACATTGGTATTTCATAAACCTCCTGGGATATACTCAAACAGAGTTGGCAACCCTAGTGTTTGTGCTTGTGTATGCGTCTGTAGGACGTGACCGAACCACACAATGTATGGGTATGCATTTGTGGACTTGCTGTATGTCTGTACAGCTGTCTGTAGGAGCTTTTGTGCACACATCTTTGCATGGTGTGTCTCACTAGACATGCAGGTATCTGTTGGGAGAGATGTTTATCTCTCTTTGGGTATGGATCCTTTGGGGGCTGTATGCGTCCATCTCTGGAGTGGCAATATTTTGGGAGGGATGCATCCACCTCTAAAAGGAGTCTGAGTGTAACCCAGGACCTCGTCTGAAAGGAAGATCCTGGGGGATCCCTTTGGAGAGGGGAAGGCTGAGGCTTGGTGCCTGCTGCCTAAGGAATGTTCTTGGAAAGTGGGAAGGGGACGGAGGAGCAGCCACTCCTGTAGCCAAGACCCCTTCACCGAGAGTCTGTCTTCTCTCCTCTGGGAGCAGTCCCTACCTTGGGACTACTTCCTTCCTGCTCCTCTGTTGCCCACGTGCCACTGGCTTTGCGGTGGGAACGGAAGTGGTTCCCAGCAATCCCAGGAGAGCTCCTATTGGTCTATGGTGAGCTCATCTGTGATTCCCCATCTCCGCCCCCATGCACACATTTGTTGGTGGGGGATGATGTCAGCTGGAAGCCAGGCTGATGCAAGAGACTGAAATGGAGTTGTGTGGAGGCAGCGGGAGGACAGCTTGGCCTTCCCTCTGTGGGTATCTGTGCAAACTTGGAGCATAGCTCTAGGAATAAGACCTGGTAATGTGAGAGCTGAGGCCGACCATGTTTCTCAGTGTTAAAATGTTGCTCATTACTGTGGCATGTGGACACTGCACCAGGCTTGGGATGTGTCCCTGGAGGAGAGACCAGAAGATCTCTTGTGCCAAGCCTGACCAGTATGGAATGCAGGCAGGGTTGTTAAATCCATGCCTCTGTTACGGGCCTTTGATACAGTGCAGTCTACACCAAAGGCATCTGTGCAGGGAGCAGCTGAGCAAGGTTAAGACAAAAGCAGAATGTTTCTTAAAACAGGCAGACCTTGCAGTTAGCCTTGTCTTGTGTTGCTGTGTAACATTCCCCTACAGATCAGCCCATGTGCTGCCCCAAGAGCTCCACCCCTCTAGATCTCTGCAGCTGCTGTCGATCTGGTGAGGGGCAGTGGAGAGAGAACAGGTAGCAGCCCCAAGCTGTGTTCTTTCCTTGCTGTACCCTCTCCCTGTTGGAGAGCACAGGGGCCATACCCCTCATGTGAACCCTGATACACCCAGGAGGTCAGATGATCAGACTGAGTCCATCTGGCTAATGCCAGGCTGTACTAGGGTGGTGCAGAGGTACCGTATGATTAGGGACCTACTTAAATCACAGTTTTGCAATTCTCACAAACTGAAAAATGGTGATCGCCTTGAAAAATGGCATTGGCCATGATGTTGCAGGAAATAAACCAAAAAAAAAATTAATAAAAATAAAAGGCTGGTTCCCCAGCCTCACAGCCCGCCTGGGATGAGAAGGTGCCAGCTGGTGGGGTAGCACAAAGGGCAGCAGCCAAGATGGTGGCTGCCTCCTTGTGCCTCTCTGCCAATCAGTGCTGTGGGGCGGGGCTGCACGAAGGGCAGCCAGCATTCAAGATGGTGGCCACCCCCTAGTCCCTTCTCCCCCTGGGGGCCTCAGCCAGCCAGGGGCAGGGGATGGGGCCTCTCTACCATCAGAGCCAAGGGGCAGGGCCACCAAACCACAAAGATTGTTTTCCCTTGCTGCCAGTTAGGTAGGTCCCTACATATGATACATAGGGGCAGGGACACAGGTAAAACTCCTTTGCAAAGCAGCAGGGCTCCAGAGATAGCATCTACTGTTTGAGTCTCCTGTGTGGTCTTGTCCCATTTCCATTAATGTAGGTTGGGCTATATCAGTACCCAAGTGATCAGGCATGTGATAGTGTATACATCTACCTCTGAAGGGTGTGGCTGGCTAGAAAGTGCCTTATAGACCCCCTCCTGTGCAAGAACCAGTCTCAGGCTATTAGCCAATGTTGTTATGGCTGTTGTTTCTTCAATACTGATATTTGTCCAGAGTGCCCCTAGCTGGCCTTCCTCTGCCTTCTTCCTTGCCTGATTCCTGTTTTATCAGGCCCTGGCAGCTTCTGAATGGCTGAAAGATGCAGGGCAGATACCATGCTTTGACTGACAGCCTCTTGGATGTCTCTGTGCAGTCAGTGAGGGAAGAGCCTCTTTTGCCCTGGGTTGGATATGGGTCCTGAGCTCTGGCCTTGAGAGAACATAGCAGAGTTACGTCTCTCTCTGGACTTGCTCATTGCACAAGGCATCTGCCCAAAGGATTTCTTGGCAGATTCACAGAGCAGGAAAAGCAGGAGGACGGCAAAGTATGCCACCAAGCTGCCCTACCAAGCCTTTGGTCACGTAAGGAGGCTGTGATGATGAGAAATATCCACAGTACCTGCCTTCTGGCTGGGGCAGGGCAATTTCACCTAAAGCATGAGGCTAATCCACAACTCCCCACATACTGCCTGACTGACCCAGGACCAGCCAGCATAGCACCTGCCCAGCCTGAAATCCAGCCATTGGTGTAACTCTCAGCACTAACCACTCTGCCTCACCCATGATTTATACCAGACTGGGGGCAGGGGCACAGGTTCCACAAGGACCCATCATCTTGCTCCATTGAGGCTTCTTCTTGGAACCTGAGTAGAGGTCCTTGTTCAGAGAACAGTCAGCCTCTGCTCCTGGAGATGAGTTCCCCACATGCTGAGACAGCTGAGTGTGGGAGGAGTGGGGAGACACGGCCTTCTCTGGTCAGAGAGCTCTGGAGCTCAGATACTGTATTCCACAGCAAGGCATTGTGGGTAATGCACAACGTCACCTTGCAGAGCATTGACTCTGATACAGGCAGGCTGAGCTGCAGAAGGCTGTGAGGAGTGGCTCAGACCCCTCCACTCTCTAGGGACATGGACTAACTAAGGATGGCTTCCTCTTACAGGATGAGCAGATTGACTGGGAGAAGCCGGTTCTGAGCCAAGCTGAGATTGAGCAGAAGATAAAGGAGTACAACAGTCAAATCAACAGCAACCTCTTCATGAGCCTGGTAAGGCCTCTGGGTCAGCAGGGTCCACATGTAGGGGTATGACGAGAGCAAGGGACTTATCATTTCTGATATGAATGAGAACTTCCTATCCATTGCAGGGGCTACAGGAATCCAGATCTGGGCCTTTTCTACAGGGGCTGTCGCTAGATCTGATGCCGAGCTTTGCTGCATTGTTCCTTGTTTTTGCTAAGATCAGCCTGCTTTTGGTATCTTTTCACAGAACAAAGATGGCTCCTACACGGGTTTCATCAAGGTGCAGCTGAAGCTGGTCCGGCCAGTCTCTGTGCCAGCCACCAAGAAGACACCCACCATCCATGATGCCAAGAAGGTGGCACGCTCCCAGGCGGTGAAGCGGCGCACATCATTCTACCTGCCCAAGGACACAGTCAAGCACCTGCACATCATCTCCCGCACGCGGGCCAGTGAGGTCATTGAGGCCCTGCTCAAGAAATTCATGGTGGTTGACAATCCCCGCAAGTTCGCTCTATTCGAGAGATCTGAGAAGGAAGACCAAGGTACTGGCATCCCTCTCTCCTCACCTGAGCTCACTGTCTGTCCATCTGCATTTTACTGCCTCTATATCAACCACCTTTTAAAAACCTAACCCAACCAGGTATATGCCTGCTGTGATGACAACACTGAGCAACCTGAGCTTGATTCTCACCCTGCAGCACTGTCTCTGCCCTGCTCCTTACAGTGCCTCCTACTGGAGCTGTGATAGCTGGAAGCTCCACCATAGCCAGTGTTCCTGCCCCACTCCATATAGCTTCCCTGCTGTGAGAGACTGGAGTTAGAGAAGCTGGAGCCAATTTGCTCAGTGTTACTGATACATGTGTGTCTGATTGGTGCCATTGCAGTTTACCTGCGGAAGTTGCCTGATGACGAGCAGCCCCTGCGTCTTCGGCTGCTGGCTGGCCCCAGTGAGAAGGTCCTCAGCTTTGTCCTGAAGGAGAACGAGACTGGGGAGGTCAATGTAAGTTCAGGAACATCCTAGTGTGGCACTGCTGGCCAGTGCCCGGAAACCAACAAGGCTGCTCCTGTGCGAGGAAGGATATGACAGTACTGCCCCCTGCTTGCTGCCTTGCTAAAAGGCCGTGGCAGCTGTTGCTGTTCTGTCCACAAGGAGCAGCTAGAACAGCACATGCTTCTTGTTGGTGCTGTATGTGGGGGAGCACTGAGCTCAGCATTGTACCCATTCAGGAACAGTGGCAAGGAAGAGCCATCAGGGCCTGAGATGGGGGCACAGTGAGATGGAGCTGAGGTAGCCCCCCCCCCAAAAAAAAAAGCCAAAACAAAACAAACCCAAACTCAACCCTGCTGTGCAAGGAAAGAGGAAGCTGAACATTATTTGCCTGCAGCTGCTCTGCTATCCTAGCCTTTGGCTCTTTTGCCCTTGTGTCCATGTCCACCAAGGAACTTTGCCAGTGCTTCTGGCCTGATCCCACTTTTAAAATGGGTAGTGTTGGGTTTGTGGTGTGTGTTTCTGTGCCTGGGGGGGTAATGGTGCTGCCTTGCTGTGTTGTCCCCTGCAGTGGGATGCCTTCAGCATGCCTGAGCTGCACAACTTCCTGCGAATCCTGCAGCGGGAGGAGGAGGAGCATGTCCGGCAGATCCTGCAGAAGTATGCCCACTGTCGCCAGAAGATGCAGGAAGCGCTGGCCACTCGCACCCCAGGCTGAGCTACCCCCATCTTAGACCCAATGCTCCAACCAAGACCAAGTGGCTAGAGGAGGCGGCAAGGCGAGGCGAGCAAGGACTGATCACTCCAGAATTATGCTTGCAGATCGACGGCTCTCCTGCATGGGTGCGGGGAGGTGGGTGGGGCATGGTGGGAGGGGGTGGTGAGTGCCAGGTGAGTGTGCCCATCCCTCAAGGAGCGAGTGTGAGCACTGGAGAGGCTGTGTGCCCGGGGGTACTCCCCGAGGGCAGGGGCCAGTCAGGATGTATGTGTGAAGTTGCTGCTGAGGAAGGGTGGTTGTGTCAGTGTTGAGACTGCTACTACCAGCTCCACTACAAGAAGAAATTGAATGCTACAGCTTTTCTAGGTCTATTCTTTTGAGGACTCCCCTGGGCCCAGACCAGGGATGGATTAAGGTTCAACATAGCACAGATTAGCCTCAGAACCCTGCTTGAGCATTCCATGTCAAGGGGATGGGGGCGGGGGGTCACCACATTTGAAAAGTAGGCCCCATCCCAGATCACTTCATGGGGGAGGTTGTGGTGCCATAAATTAGAAGCACTCTAAATTCATTTATCCATTCAGTCCTACCCTCTCATTCAGTAACCAGGCCAGCAAGGCTGCATGATTGCAGCCAGACCCCTTTGTGCAAAAGCCCACCCTTAGGAGGCATCCTCTGGGGAGAGCTGTGTGTCGCAATGAAGACTGCTTACTGCCTTTTGGGATGTAAGCTCAGTAGAACTGCTCCGGGGCTAAGCCCAGCCTTCCGGACCTTGTGTAACTGGGGCCACCCAGACCCCCATTACCAAAGGTGGCCTTTCTCTCCAGAGTGAAGCCTGAGAACAGTGCTCCAGGTGATTGTTCCTAAAGACCGTTGTTGGGCTACTGTGAGGAAACCCATCCCTCCTGGAGAACTGCTGGAGCTGCTGCTGGAAATGGACTCCTACATCCTAGTATGTATTGCCAAGGAGCAACACTGGGAAGATCCATCCCCTTCATGAGAATGGACTAGGTTCAGGGGAACAGCACCCCACAGGCTTTATGTATACTGGCCTGGGCATGTGCCCAAGGGCTATAATGGAGAGCCTGAGGTGTGCCAGTGTGTCTTTGGAAAGCATTTGATAGGCCATCATGGCTATGCTGGGCATTTTCCATCCTTCTGTGGAGGAGCAGCAGGACCCCAGTAGTTGAGGGTCAGGGCACAGGTGTTTGTCTGTAATGCAGGACCTAAAGGCTGAAGGCAGCCAGGAAGTTCCTTGCATATGTATGAAACTGATGCAGCGTGAGTGCAGTCAAGTGTTTCCTGTTGGCAGCAGGATGTCGCCTTGGCAGTTGGTTTATATTTCAGTTTTGTTTTGTTTTTTCTTTTTAATCGACTCTGAATGTCCTGAACTTCCAGGGCTTGGATGCTCTAGAGGCTCGGCCTGTGAATGGTGCTGATTTTGTGACGATCAATAAACAATTCAGGGGCAAGGTGGGCCTGGTGCTTGGGTTGTTATTCTGGGCAAGTTGCGCACACCCTTCCCTGTTGGCCTAATCCAGTGTTGATGTGAAGGGGCCAGCAGGCAGGGCTGGAGGGGAATCTAGCCCTCAGTGCATTCAGGAGGGCTAATTAGTCTGAGATCTGCAGTGTGAGAACCACTGCGCCTGCTGCACTGTGGGGACCTCTCGGTAGCATTTCTGTCACAGCTGGACATGGCTGCTTTCCAGGAAGATGCTAGGATAGGAAGACCCCTGCATTCTCCTGTTTTCCATTCAAGTTTCCTTCTTTCTGTTCCACGAGGGATCAGACCTTGGCCGGAGCTCACAGACCAAGGCAGGAGCACTCTAAGCCACAGCAGTTTCTTCATTCAGCCCTGCACAAAGAAAGTCCTCCCTGTTAGTCCCCTGGATTTCAATCTGTCCTCATCTGCCCCCCGCAGTTACGAATGGGGGTAACTCCCTCCACCCCCCACCGCCAGCCCGCCCCAGTTTGCTTATTTCCCGGTCGCCGTTTGCATTATTGTCCGCTCCTTTCGGGAGCAGGTGAGAGATGCTCGCACAGGGTAGAGCAGGTTCCTTTCACAGCCCTGGACGCGGAGTCTGCTGGAAGAACCGGTCCCGCCCGCCGGGAACAGGGCCAGGCGCCGCCTCGGAGCCCGCCAGCGCAGC